TGCTGGTGGCATAATATTCCATTATGGGGGGTGCTGTGGGATGGTCTGTATGTCAAGTGTGTTGCTAATTGGTCAATAAATAAATCAATGATTGGTCAGTGGCTAGGCAGGAAGTATAGGCGGGACAAGGAGGAGAATAAAGCTGGGAAGTGGAAGGCTGAGTCAGAGAGACACTGCCAGCCGCCACGATGAGAAACAGCATGTGAAGATGCCGGTAAGCCACAAGCCACGTGGCAAGGTATAGATTAATGGAAATGGATTAATTTAAGCTGTAAGAACAGTTAGCAAGAAGCCTGCCACGGCCATACAGTTTGTAACCAATATAAGTCTCTGTGTTTACTTGGTTGGGTCTGAGCGGCTGTGGGACTGGCGGGTGACAGAGATTTGTCCTGACTGTGGGCCAGGCAGGAAAATTCAACCTACAGGGGGGGTTACCATAATTTATGAACTGTTGCATACGCGTATGATTTCCATACGTCTAGCATTTTGTGCTTTAAGGAGCAGGGTGATGCAATGTAAAGGCAGTGGGCTCTCCTTCAGAAGGTCTGAGCCATAACCTAGGTGACCCACTGGTAGTGTCGCAAACTGACATATAATGACCAATTACCTTAATATTGCTATTATTGCTGTATCTTTCATTTCTGACTTTTTTCTTAGAGATACCTACACTTGAGATTTATTCAATGGTGTTGATACTTACTGACTTTTTTTTAACTACCAAGTTGGTATCAAAGTATACTCACATCTGCAATGATGAAGAAGGGTCATTGTAATTCCGACTCTTACCCATTTGGAAAAGCAAAGCACAGGGCAACCCATTATGACACCGGGGAGGTTTTGCCAGTCAGATTCAAGGATCTGATTGTCCAAAGTTTAAAGTGATTCTTAACACATGGTTCCCAGACCAGTAACATCAGCATCACCTGGGATCTTGGCAGAAAAACAGATTCATCAAGTTCTTCTTAGACTTACTGAATCTGAGACTCAGAATGAGAGCCAGGATCTGAGTGTGTGTGTGTGTGTGTGTGTGTGTGTGTGTGTGTGAGAGAGAGAGAGAGAGAGAGAGAGAGAGAGAGAGAGAGAGAGAGAGAGAGAGAGAGAATGCTGATTCAGCTAGAGTGACTGAGCCGGAATCTCGTCTGACTCGGCCTTCCCACTTCTGCCATTACTAGCCTGTGTCACCACACCCAGATTTCATTTCGGTGCTGAGGATCAAACTCAGATCCTTATTCTTGCAAGGCAAGCACTTTGCTGACTGAGCCATCTTGCCAGGCACAGGATCTGAGTTTTAAGAAGCCTTCTGGATCACATTCAAGTTTGAGAAGAACCAGTTGAAAGCACTGAAGAGTCCTGGCCAAGCCCTCAGAAGTGTTTGCCACTTGCCTTTAAATACCTACATTCCATTTTCTGGGCCCTGTCCATTTATCAGGGGTGGTGTGATGTGACTTAGAGACAATGAGTTCTCGTTGAGAAGTACTGCATCACTGCCCAGGGAGATTCCCTGGTGGGTATGACCAAACACACGTGATAATGAGTCTAATACTGTTGTCTCTTATGGTCAGGGTGGAAATGTCTCTGTATCATTTAGCCCAAATGTGACACTGGAAGGAAATTTTCAGCTAAGTTACACCAGATGTTTCATGGTTATGCAAGAATGCAGAACATAACATGTTTTCCTCACTGGATAAAAACACGCTGTAAGTTTTCTTTAGCACTGTGGCTAGAGTTTACAAAATGGGACAGTCTGACCACACTTTAGGCTGTTATCACCCCTCCCTTCCTCCCAGAGCAAAGGACAATCAAGCCAAAGAGAAGGAAGAACACAGTGCTTTCAAGTCCACAGCTAATGCTGAGAAAGGAGAGGGCTGCAGCATCTGGGATGTGTAAAACAGAGATGACATTGTGGAGTCTGAGAGCACATGCTGCCACTTCTGCTTCAGACCATTCAGAATGGCTCCAGGAGGCATGACCCCAGGGCTAGTCTCAAAATAATGCAGATGGTAGATGCAGTAGAGAAAATTAGGAAGAAAATTATTTCCAGTTCTCTTCAAAGAGTATGGCAGACATGATTGTCTCCTTCACCTCGATTTAATAATGTCCCCAGTTCTGAGATCTTTCACACCTTTGTCTCATGGCGTCTTCAGAAGAATGCTCCATGGTGTCATTGGAAAAGTGATGGTTGGATGTTGGCTAACATAATTATAAATCTATGCTGTGCCAATTCCAGTCACACAATCTTTAGCGAGTACAGTGGGTCATCCTGATTGGATTGAGAAGTGCCTAAACTTGGTTCTCAACCTATGGGCCACGACCCTTTTGCAGGTTGAATAACTATTCACAGGGGTCGCCTAAGACCATCCTGCATATCAGATATTTACATTAGGACTTATAATGGTAGCAAAATTATAGTTATGAAGTAGCAGTGAAAATAATGTTATGGTTGGGGGGGTCCCCACAACATGAGGAACTGTATTAAAGGGTCACAGCATTAGGAAAGTTGAGAACCACTGCTCTAGATTAATGAAGTAGACATCAGAGTGTGTCTGTGAGGACATTTCCAGAAAGAATTAAACAAGGGAAGATGTGTCCTGAATGAAGGTGACACCATCCAGTAGTCTAGAGTCCCAAAGGGAATGGAGGAGGAGGAGAGGAAGAAGGGGCGGAGGGGGAGAAAGAGAGACAAGAGGGAGGAGGGGGAGGCGACGCCCTGGTGTAGACATTCTCTTACTCTTTTGCTCACTCTCTCTCTGATACCTGGCCACTGAGGCGGGCTGTTCATCTCTGCCTCCCCCTGCTGCCACTATGGACTGGAGCCTTGAAACCCACAACTCAGGTAAACCTTCCCTTTCTTACATTGTGTTGTTTTGATGCTTTGTCAGGGACAAAAACTAACCCTACGTGGTGCTCAGATTTGCTGAGCTTCAGTTACCCAACAATATCTCATTGGGATGGCTGCAGGGACTAGAGGAGACCACATTTAATAGTCATTCCTCCCTGTCTTCTTCCCTGCAGCGGGGAAGGCGGGCAAATCCCATCATTCTTTGGGATGTTCCTCCATGAGGAAGCGCCTCTTGTCTAACTGTTCTTGCCTTTGGTACCTCATTGTATTCCTCACAGCCTCGCTCACAGAAAGCTGAAATAAGGATTCCCTTCACAAAGTTTGGCCTGTGTGACTCAGTTGGTATCCCAGCGAGACCTTCCTCTGGAGGCAGGAGAAAGAAGGCAGAGAGAGCAGACTCTGAGACAGAATAGAAACTTCACCTGGTTCTTCAGAATTCCAGCCTAGACCAGTCACCAGCAGAATCCTTTACAACAAAGCACCCAGTACTTTCTTAAACCTATCACCGAATCCCCAGCCCAGGTTTCCTTCAGGTCGGACCTGACACCGAGTTGACCTGGAGTTCAGACCAACTCCACCACCCTTCTCAACTTCAACTTCTCCTCATCCTCTCAGAGACCAGCCATCCAACGAGCCTGAGGACCGATGAGGAGGCACTTCCTCTTTTGAGTCAGGTTTTCAGGCCTTTCCACCTACCCCTTCTCACCTGGTTATGTCCTAAATAATCTGTTCTGATAGGCTTTCACCATCAACCTGATACAACCTAGAAATAACTTGCAAAGAGAATTTCAATTGAGGAATTGCCTAGATCAGATCGGCCTATGGGTGAGTTTCTTGATTATTAATTTATGGAGGACAATCCGGCCCACAGTGGGAGGCACCATTCCTTAGGCAGTTAGTCCTGGACTGTTTAAGAAAGTTACGTGAACATAAGCCTGCCTGTCAGCCAGCAAGTAATATCTCCCACAGGTCCCACTGTATTTCCTTGGCTGTGAAGTTAGTTCCTTGGTCAGAGACAGTGCTGTGTGCACTAGCAAGCATGCCTGCTTTTAATTTCTTGCCTTGAGTTTCTTCCTGGGCTTCCCTCAGAGATGGACTGTAACTTGGTATTGTGAACTGAAATAAACTCTTTCGTTCCCCGAACTGCCTCTGGTCGGGGTATTTGTCACAGCAGCAGAAACGAAACTAGAAGAGTACCCACGTTCCAAAGCACTGCGCAGGGATCCGTGGGCCACTCCCTTTACAAGCGCACAAGTTTAACTAATCGCCATTGGTGACTTCCTGTAGGGACCCCACCCTCTCTGCTGGACAACAGCCTGTCCACTGAGGATCTCCGACACTTCGTTGGGCACAGTTGTGTACACAGGCACCACAGCTAATGAGGAGACCAGTGTAGCTGGAGTTTTCCTGCCTGGCCCAGGGTCAGGGCAAATCTCTCTCACCTGCCAGTTCCACAGCCGCTCAGACCAAGTAAACACAGAGACTTATATTGGTTACAAACTGTATGGCCGTGGCAGGCTTCTTGCTAACTGTCCTTACAGCTTAAATTGATCCATTTCCATTAATCTATACCTTGCCACATGGCTCGTGGCTTACCGGCATCTTCACATGCTGTTTGTCATCGTGGCGGCTGACAGTGTCTCTCTGACTCAGCCTTCCACTTCCCAGCTTTATTCTCCTCCTTGTCCCGCCTACACTTCCTGCCTAGCCAATGGCCAATCAGTGTTTCATTTATTGACTAATTAGCAACACATTTGCCATACAAAACATCCCACAGCAGACCAGGAGGTGCCGAAGCTGGGTGACAAGGTTCTACGCATTAGCTGAGCATGCTCCATGTTTAAGCTCAATTGCTGGAGTTCCAAAGTCGGATTCTTTCTGTTCAGTAAGTTTGTAAGGGTCACAGAGAAACAGCACTTTCATTTTGATGTAGTCCCCTCGACTTCCAATGGGACTCGGATCCATAACCGTGGGCTGTAAACAAGGGCTAGGTCTGGGCCCTTCAGGCAAACAAGCGCGTGTTGGACCCTGATCTGAGCCCCGAGTCACTCATCCTTTCTTACAGTGGAGGCTTTGTTAGTGGGTCAGGCTTGTGGTGCCTGGCTGCCCCAGCCCTGGGGTGAGTATTCAGTGTCTCCTGTGAAGTTTTCAGAATCTGCTTAGCAGTTCACAGAAAATGCCAAGTCTATGCAGACCTTAGCAGAAGCCATGGTTCAGGTTCCTCCTAAGACTTTCATTTTGGGGTCATCTCTTCCACACCAGAATAAAGACGAGGTGGGATTTTTCTTTTAATTTAATTACATTTAAATGACAATTACATAAGTGTGTGTGTGTGTTTGTGTGTGTGTACAAACATGTCTCAACAGTTGTGTAGAAGTGAGACGATAACTCATGGGAGTCAGTTCTCTCCGTCTACAGAATGGGTCCCAGCGATCTAGCTCAGGCCTTCAGGCTTAGAGGCAAGTAGTCCCTTTATCTGCTGAGTCATCTCACCAGCCCAGAGATAGGATTTTATTTGCTCTTGTAATTTTTCAAAGGTGATATAATACACCAGAGAAATTCATTCTGGAATTTCCCAATGTCTCAGTAAATTCTAGGAAAACTCTGGGCTTGAATTAATTCTGGTTAGTTGCATCTTGAAGTCTAGAGAACCAATAGCTAAACCCCAGATATGTAGGAAATTTGAGCATGAAAGGTCTGACACAGATATTCTTAACCTGTCTGTGTATAGACTCACTTGGGGAACTTTGAAAGCTAGGCCAGAGGCTTGATGTCTGAAGCTCACCCCCAAGAATTTAATCGAATAGAATATACAAAAAAATTTTTAAACTTCTCAGGTGATTCTAATGTCCAGTCAAAGCCAAGAATCCTTGACCTAACAGTCCACATCCTGATCAAGGCATCCCATTGGTTGTTGTGTGTTTCCCAGGGGTTGGCTGGCCAGAGATGGGATCTCCTTTCTGCCCATAATGGACAGTTGTTCCTCTTGATCTATGTGGTCCAGGTTTATACCAGCTCTTCAGGCTTTCCCTCAATGAAAGAGTGAATACCTTTCTTTGCCTAGGTATTCGCCTTGCACCCTACAGAATCTATTTACTTCTAACACACCACACTCCCCACTGTCCTGGTCAATCAGTCCTTAGCAAGGCAAAAATTACAGGCCAAGTTTGAACGCATGCTCTGACGTAGGCGCTAAAAGAGTACAGCTATACACTGAACAAGTTGCTTTTCTCAGTGCTGGGACAAACTACCCAACAGCATGACTTGATGGGAAGGAACTTACTTTGGTTTGTGGCTAGAAGGGATCTAGCCTGTCGTGGTGACAAGGCAAGGCAGCATGCACGGGTCAAAGTCAGGACAGCCACCAACAAGGCAGTAAAGAGACACAGGGGCTTCTTATAACCCTTGGTGCCCCTTACCCCCAGAAACTCACTTCCTCCAGCTAGGCTCCGCCTTTAAAAGATTCTACAACCTCCCCAAACAGTGCCACCACCTTGGAAGAAAGTGTTCAAACACTTGATTATGTGGAGGACATTTTATATGAAACTGTAATACATACATCAAGGAAATTCATGCTCTAATAACAATATGGTATTTTTATTTTTGTGTTTACTTAGTGGAGGAGGTGACACATTGTGACATGGCATGCATGGAGATCAATGGTCAATATGCAGGGTCAGTTCTCTCCTTCCACCTTGTGGGTTCTGGGGATCAGACTCAGGTCACCAGGCTTGGCAGCAAGCACTGATACCCACCGAGCCATCTCACTGGCCCCAAAGTGCCATTTTTTTAAATGGTGGGACCCAAACTTGGGATCATGTTACTTTGTCTGGAGGATACTTCAGCCTTAAGAGAGTGGGTGACAGTAACCAAGGGCTTTCCAGAAGCCACAGCCACCTCTGCCATTTGCAAGAGAGACTGGGATTCTATTTATTACATTGACAATTCAATTCTTATAAAGGAATTAGATGGAGAAATAAAGAATCTACTCCCCCATGAGAACGTAACTGCCTGTCCTAGCAAGAGAGCCATATCACTCCTTTTGGAATCCAGCATCATTCTTAGCATATAATTTTCATATTTTGGGCATACAATAAATAGTTGGATTGGTAAATTTCTTAAATTCAGATTCTAGAAATTGGAGGATTGATATCTGATTTATTGAGCAACTATTATATCTTGGGGCCCAAGCTAGGTGCTTCCCTGATATATCACTCAACTTTAGAATTAATATTTATGTCTTAGTATTAGTGTTAATACTAGGTGTTAGTTGAGATGTAATCTAAGCTGTTGTAAGAAAGTTACCTCAAAAGACAGTGGATTAAGTAGGACATGAATATGAAGGACATGCTCTTTCCCAAATCATGGTTCTAATTATGACACACAAAGGGGTCCAGAATTTCCTTTTAGCTCAAGGGGTTTCCATATCTGGGCCAGACATGGCTGTTCTAGCCAGTGGGTGGAGAGAAATGGTTGGGAAGCATATCTAAATTTCCAGGGGCGGCAACATATATACCAGAAGCTCGGCTGATAGTTAGACCAATATTCAAGCGGTTGGAGGAATATAATTGTTAATTAGTTGGGCATGTATCCATCTAAAACCGGAGAGGGGCATAATTAAATAAGGGAGACGAGATACTGATTGACAGTTCACACTAGAACTGCTGAGAATAAGTGGCCTGGAGTCCCCGGTCCTAAGGGGACATCTGGATCAACCCCCTCAGGGCTCAGGGAACATCTTGGAGAAGGAAGTGAAAAGGACATAAGAGCCAGAGACTGGGAAGGAGTGCTGAGAAATGCTGTCTTCTGGACACGTCATGCCATTACATCAGTGAACTCCCTGCAGCTGTGGTTACCTTGGTAATGCCCACACCAAGGTCAAGCCAACAAGGTCAGTCAGTATTCCAGTAGGCAGTGCTAACAGGACTAACAGTGGGTTACAGGGCGGAGGCGGGAAGGCAGGAGGGTTCATGTTGGAGGGGATTCAGGGGTGGGTGTGATCAAGATACATTGTATAAATATGTGAAATTTCCAAAGAATAAGTAAATAAAGCAAAAGAGAAACCTCATACCTATGGGTACATTCTTATTGAAGTTTTTATTGAAGTTGGGAATAAACTACAGGAAGGTGCTGGGTATTAGCCCAGAGAAATCCTTCATCTTGCCAGTGAAGTTGGGATTAAGTTGGCTCTGAAAGGCTGCCTCAACTATAAGAACCATAATTTCCTAATTTTCCATGGAGGGAGATGTGGATGAAGCAATGAAAATATCTGTGTGTCCCATTCGGGCTGAGACTTTCCTGGAAAAGCTCTATCTAGAAAGCCACACCCACTACCACATGCTAAGTATCTACCTGGGCTGGGGGGTGGGCTAGACATTTCCCACAAATGGTCTCCTTTTAATCTGTGTGCCCAGCTCCATCAGATGAGGATCATTCAGGCCATTTTACTGGCAAGAAAACTGATTCTCAGAGAGATAATGGAGCTAAGAATTGATTAAGCGTGTCTGAGTCCAGGCTTGTCTGATACTCTGGTGGGTGCTTTTCCTTACTACACTGCTGCCCACGAGTGAGCCCTCAAAATAAACTTCAAGGGCTGGGCAGGTGGCTCTGTGGATACGGTGCTTGATGCCCAGGCATAAGGACCTGTATTCAGTCCCCCAGTGTGTCTGTGACAAAGCCTGGCCTCGGCGTCTGGGCTTGTAATCCCAGTACTACGGAGTACATGTGGGATCTCTGGGGCTTCTAGCCAGCCAACCTGGTTCTATGGGTAAGCCCTAGGCCAAAAAGAGATCCTGCCTCAAAACAAACTAACAAACAACAAACAAATATTAAACAAGATGGACAGCTCCTGAGGAACAACACCCAAGGTGACCTTGAGCATCTACAGACACGAGTATCTGTGTCCATAATGAACACGCATAAAGCCACGTTTCAAGGCGTTCTTGAAAACAGCGTTACTGGCCATCTGTTATGGTACTTAATGTAGTGGATGCATCCTTATTATTACAGTCTGCCTCTCCAGACTGTCTCCATTTCCTGGTATTAATTAATTATGCCTCGGTCGTTTTGCAAAACTGAGTGTGGTCCAGGGTCTGGTATCCGACACCCGCCTAAACAAATGATAAATTGAATCCATAAAAACACCCCTAGACCTCGGAGTGATTTCTCTTTAACACCTAGCCATGCCAGTTTTGCTGCATTCCCATCTTATTCCTTGGTCCTTGGTTTATAGCTCTCCTGCCAGATACAATGAAAATATTTCTGATTGAACTTTCATGTACTTGGAAGGTCTTTGAAGGGCTGAGTTTTGGCTTCAGTCTAACCTCAATCGTGGTGTCTCGCTTGCCTATTCTGTGTCATCCTCGGGAGCTAATGAAAAAGCTGTTTCCCACTCTGTTATCAAAACAAGGACCTAAGATGAACACTCCTCCATGGCCAGTGGGAATGCAAACTTGTCCAGCCACTATGGAAATTAATGTGGTGGTTCCTAAGAAAATGGGGAATTGATCTACCTCAAAACCCAGGTATATCACTCTTGGGCATAAAACCAAAGGACGCTCTATCCTACCACAAGAACACTAGATCAACTATGTTCATAACAGCTTTATTCATAATAGGCAGAAATTGGAAACAACCTAGATGTCCTTTGACCAAAGAATGGATATAGAAAATGTGGCCCATTTACAAAATGGAGTATTACTCGGGTGCTAAAAACAATGACATCATGAAATCTGCAGGCAAATGGATGAATCTAGAAAAAACTCACCCTGAGTGAAGAAACCAAACCCAGAAAGATAAACATGGTATGTACTCACTTGTAAGTGGACATTAACTGTTAAATAAAGAATAGGCATGCTACAATAGGACCCAGAGAGACTAAGTAACATGGAGGGCTGTGAGGGGTGGTGCAAGGATCTCCCTGGGAAGAGAAAATAGAACAGATTTCATGGGTGGACTGGGAGTGGGTGGGGATGGGAACAGGAGGGATCTGGTTGGGGGGTGGAAGGGACAGAGGGAGAGAATACTGGGAGAGGTGACTGGAATTGGGGATTTGGGGGAGAGTGATGTAGAAACCTAGTTCAGTGGAAACTCCCTGGAATGTACAAGAGAGACGTTAGTGAAGTCTCCTGGTAACGGGGAATACAGAGCCTGAACTGGCCATCTTCTGTAACCAGGCAAGGCTCCCAGCAGGGGGCTGGGAAGTCAATCCGGCCTCAAAACCTTCAACCTACAGCCTGTCCTGCCTGCAAGACGTGCTGGGGGAAAGGTGGCCAAACCAATGGCTGGTCCAACTTGAGACCCACACCACAAGAGGGAGCCCATGCCAGTCACTGCCTGGAGGGCCAGGAACCAGAGGCAGGACGGCCCAGGACCTGAGATAGTACCAAACACAACTGTGGGGGGAGGTGCGCGGGCGGGGGTGGGGGTAGTCAATGAAATGATTCCTAATGATATTCTGCCATCCTCGTAGATCGGTGCCTAGCCCAGTTATCATCAGAGAGGTGTCTTCCAGCGACTGATGGGAGCAGATGCAGAGACCCACAGCCAAACACTAGACAGAGCCAGAAGAACCCCCCAGAAGAGATGGGGGGAAGGGTTGTAGGACCAGGGGTCAAGGATGCCGCAAGAACAAGGCCCGAAGAATCAACTAAGCAGGGCTCATAGGGGCTCACAGAGACTGAAGTGACAATCGTGGAGCCTGTATGGGCCTGAGCTAGGTCCTCTGCATGTATGTTATGGTTGTGTAGCTTGGTGTTCTTGTGGGACCCCTAACAGTGGGAGTGTGTGTGGGGGTGTCTCTAACTTTCTGACTCTTTGCCTATGTTTGGGACCCTTTCCTCCTCCTGGGTTGCCTCATCCAGACTTGATATGAAGGTTTGTGCTAAGTCTTATTGTAACTTGTTAGGCCATGTTCAGTTGATATCCATGGGAGGCCTGCCCCTTTTTTCTTTTTTCTTTTTTTTCTTCTTCTTCTTTTTCTTTTTCTTTTTTTTTTTAAGAGAAATGGGAGAGTGGATCTTGGGGAGAGGGAAGGTGGGGGAGGGAGTCGAAGGAGTCAGGGGAGGGAGAGGAAACTGCGGTCAGGGTGTATGAGAGAAGAATTTTGAAAAATAAATAAGTAACAACAAAAAAAGAAACGAACAAAAAGCAAACCCCTAAGATTCCAGGGAAAGATGGCAGTTGCAGACTGAAGTCATGGTTTTGTTTGAAGAAATTTTGCGCATGTCTCAGTGGTGTGTCAAACTTTGCAGGGGTGCTTAAGACAAGCCTGGGAGGGGAGACTGGCCACTTCCTGTGTCCTGGGGAGGAAGGAGCTGGAAACCTGAAGGAGTTTGAAAGCCTCTGGTTCCTTCACCAATGGTGGAATGTTTGAGCATGAACAACTAGACCAAAGCAGCAAGCATTCCAGAAGCAAGTCTTGATTGGAACCAATACTGGGTGCCCAGGATGTGGCAGAGAGGAGGCGGGGCTGCTCTCTGAAAGCCTCATTGGAACTCACTTTTCCTCATTTGACAAGTGACTGAGCTGACTCCTCTCATGAAGTAGCCCAAATGCACATGAGGGTTTTTGTCTTCCCCTCCCCCAGACGTCATGCTGAGCCAGATACTAAATATGAGAACATTACGTGAAGTAGCCTTAAGGTGTGCCTCCGACTCCAAAGACATTCTGGGTTGTTTTAATGCTTGTGTGTGACGCGTCTTACAAATATTTGGACAAAAGCAATAACTCAGGAAGATGTCCTATATTTACCCTATCTTGGCAGGGACCTGGTTGAAAGGTTACTACATTGTGTGTGTGTGTGTGTGTGTGTGTGTGTGTGTGTGTGTGTGTGTGTGTGTGTGCTGGTGCGTGTGTCCTGCTCTATCAATCACTTTCTACCTTATTTCCTTGAGACAGTCTCTCACTAACCGGGAGGTTGGAGCTACAGTCAGTAAGCCCCAAAATATCTCTCCTCTCTCCACTAGTTTCTAAGGCAGTGATTCGCAACCTTGCTAACGCTGCCACCCTTTGATACAGGTCCTCGTGTTGTGGTGACCCCCTCCCAACCGTAAAATTATTTTAGTGCTGCTTCACAACTGCAATCTTGCTCTTATTATGAATCGTAAATATCTGACATGCAGGCTATCTGGTATGTGACCTCTGTGAAAGGGTCGCTTGATGCCCAGAGGGGTCTCGACCCGCAGGTTGAGAACTGCTGCTCTAAGGCTACAGGTGAGCAGTCGCACCTGGATTTTCACTTAGGTAATGGGAAGTCAAAATCAGATCACATTTGCACATCAAGCACGCCCACCCACGGAGGCATGTCCTCCTCCCCAAAGGTCCAGACTCTTTATGTACCTTTCCCTGCCAAGAGCAGCTGCGGTGGTGAAGAGTCATTGTCAACGGGTTGGGATTGAGAGTCACTCTGGGTCTGTCCACAAGAATGCTTCCAGAGATTTCATTGAGGATGGAGGACCCTCCCCAAATATAGACTGCACCATCTCACCTGCTAGAGTACCTGACTGAGCAAAGGAGAGAGCAGGCTAAGCACCCCCATTCACCTCTCCCTGCTTCCTGACTGGATGCAAAGGGACCAGCTGCCTCAAGCTCCTGCCACATGCCTTCCCCATCATGAGGGGTCTACTATACTCCGAAACTGTGCACCAAAACAAACCCTATCTGCCAAAAGCTGCATTTGTATATTGTCATAGCAACAAGAAAAGTAGCTAAGACAAGAGCTCAGGACTGGGTGATGTCTGACCACATTTCTAGATCTCAAACTCTTTTCATGGGGAGTCATAAATAAATAACACCAGAAAGAGCATAGGCAGACCTATTTGCGGGACATAGAAATTCATTTTAAAAAGATTTGTTTTATTTTGATTTGTGTGTATGTGTGTGTATCCGCTTGTGGATATGTGCTTGCAGAAGCCAGTGTGGGGTCTAGGAACCAAACTTAGGTCCTTTGCAAAAGCAGCAGGTGCTCTTCACCACTGAACCGTTTCACCAGCCCCTCAGTTCACCTTTGCTTCAAAAATTCTAACCAAATAAGACAGTTTTGTGGACCATGTTCACCTGCTATGTAGGATGTCTACTCTATGTGGAGTAGCCCTACTTTTATAAGGGCTCCAGGAGATGTTTGGTTTTGGATTCTGGTACTGGGAGTTGAATCTAGAGCCTCTCTCTACCACTGAGCTTCATCCCCAGGTCCAGGGCATTCGTACGGCAAAGCACTGGCAAACCTGAACGTGAGATAATTATAAATTTCTCATGAATGAAGGACCCAGTAGGAATGGGCACCACTGGAGTGGTACAGATGATGACTCCTGCTGTCTTGCCACACAGGGTGGGTCTTGCCTTGTGAAATTCAGGGAAGGAAGTTGCCAGAGAGGCCACTGTAAATCCCTGTGCTCCTGACCTCACTCCAGGTGGGTGTGGGTTCTTTAATCTCTGCTGTCCTGGAAGGAGGTACATCTGGCTTTGGGGAAATTATGTGTGGTGTTTTGCCTGCATTGTGTCTGTACATCATGAATGTGCCTGGCATCCACAGAGGCCAGCAGAAGGTGCCAGATTCTCTGGAACTGTAGTTATAAATGGTTGTGAGCCACCATGTGGATACTGAGAATCAAACCCAGGTCCTCGGGAAGAAAGCCAGTGCTCTTAAATGCTGAGCCATCTCTCCAGCTTTGGGAAAAATACTTCTGACTACTTGCCTCTTTGTCCCAGTAGCTCACCTCCCCAGAAGCCGTGAGCAAACAGCTGGTAGAGAAGCAGCAGTCACACCCAGCACCTTCCTCTTCTTGACAGAAAGAGACTAACAGGGGGGTAACGGTGTTGGGGGGCAGTGTGAGGGGAGGAGCACAGGCCTTCAGTCCCTGTTCTTGAGAGGCAGAGGCAGGGAGATCTCTGTGAGTTCAGTCTGAGGCCAGCCTGGGCTACAGAGCAAGTTCCAGGCCAACTAAGCCTACACAGTGAGATCCCCACCCCCCAATAAGATAAGATAAAATAAATCTGACAATGGAACACGAATTTAGTCAAACCTCAAAAGAGGGGCCGTGAGATTGAGGGTATAGCTCAAAGACAGAGCAATTGTCCAGTGTGCAGGAGATGCTGGGCTCTATTCCTAGCCTTGAAGGGGGAAGGGACTTCCTCTCTGGGCCCTTAGGTGCCTCCTGGCCCAAGCCTGGAAACCAGGGCACTGTGATGGTGTCCTTCTATCCGGACACTGCCTTCCCAAAGACCAGGCTCCCTGAGTGTCTCCTGCCTTAAGATCCCACAGCAAAGCAAAGAAACACGTGGGACAACGGGCTGTTCCTTGGTGCCCTGATGTGGCTAATGGGGTCAGTTATGTCGAAGGCCTTTGATGAAGAGCTTCGTGGATACAAACCCAAGTCTTACCATGTTCCTTGTTTCTGGGTATTAAGGCGGCTAAGACAGAACTCATCTTAAGGCTGTTAAAGCCTGGCAGGACTTTAGAGCATACTGGCATTTAAATAGTCCTTTTATTCACCCAGTAAATATCTGAGTGCTGTCTCAACACTCTCTCAATACAACAGTGGTTTTGAAACTTAGGATGCTCTAGCATCTTTAGGGCTCCTTAAAATGAAGATCCTGATTCAGGCGGTTTGCTCCCGGGGCCTGACAATTTGCTGTTAGATCAGCTGCTAGGTGTGTCTGGAGCTGTTAAGGGGACAGGACGCACCCTATCCTTAAGGTGGCTATGCCAGAACTAACGGTAGAGATTGTGTTTTCTCCCACCTTCCTGCGAGCTGTTGACTTGTGCCTGTCTCCGCTAGTCCAGCCCAAAGCCAGAAGCCAGCTGAGCTGTGTCTGTGCACGCGGCAGGGAGGAGGGAGCTGTGGGGCTGGAGCACCACCAGACAGGGACACGGGGAGGGACCGGGTCTGGGATTTACCCCGGGACAGGCCTGTGCAGCGCCAGGAGCCGTCCCTGCGCGGGCGCTCAGGGCGGTGCCCGCGGTGCGGCGTGGGGCGGATCGCGACCCCCGTCCCTCCCCCGGGGCTGAGTCGCCGCCGTGCGCGCGCCGCCCACGCGCGATCGTCGCTATCGCGGCCGCCCGGCTGGCCGGGCCTCGCCGCGCGGGGACCCTGCCAGCCATGGCCCAGCTCGGCGATCAGGCTCTGCCGGGGCCAGAAACCACGGTGCAGATCCGTGTGGCCATCCAGGAGGCCGAGGACGTGGAGGATCTGGAGGAGGACGACGAAGGGACCTCTGCGCAGGCAGCGGGGGACCCAGCCCGGTACCTCAGTCCAGGCTGGGGCAGCGCCAGTGAGGAGGAGCCGAGCCGCGGGCACAGGTAGGCGAGGTGGCGCGGGCCTGGCTAGGGTACAAGGGGCTCCCCAATGCGCGACAACTCACCAGGGCAGAGGGGTTGACTCAGCCCTGCCACAGAGACTGCAGACTGAGTCAGAGCCGGCTTTTGGGGGCAGTCTGTGCCCCAACCCTCAGCAGGTTTTGATTCTTGATTGACAAGGCTTCCTGGGATGGGGGCGGGGATCTGAGGGACCCGGACTTGGGGGGGGGGGGTTGCTCTGCGATCCAAAAAGAGAGATCTGCATGGGCCATCCTCACCATTCCTACTTCTGAAGGAGACGCCCCTTTCGGTGGATGCACCCCACTAGACACTTGACCCAGCCTGGAGTTGCCCCTGAGGCTGGGCCTCCTGATGCCAGTGGTCCTAAAGATCCTTCATCACCATCATCATCTGCTCTGATCATCTGTCTAATGGCTTCACTCGGCCTCTGGGTGGGCGCAGGCCAGGCACAGCTGACATGTGCTGATGGGGGCGTCCAGGAGGGGGTGATTTCCTGGTGGAGAGATTGCCCTCAGCTGAGATGGCCGAAGGCCTTGCTGCTTCACCTCAGCCTGGGGGTTCCTGTTGCTGTCTGCCTGCTTGCCTGCCTTCTGTGCCTGGGGCTGGCTCCCCCACTGCTCACTGGTGAGTGGCTTGTAGTTGGTATGGCACCCGTCTGACCTTGCCCCTGGGCCCTGGGCTTTCTCCTCAGCCAGACACCCATCGCTAATGTTTAGGCCCTTTGCAACCATGGTTTTCTTATTGCGGTTAAAGAGACATCCCGTATGGAGCCAATGAGAAAAGAGACACGGTAACGACCCTAGCAAATGCTGGGAAATGCCAAGGGGCCTTTCGTAAGAGTCCTCCTTTGAGATACTCTGCACAGGCTCTCAGCTGGGAAGACCCTGAGGAAGTACCTCCTCTATCACTAAGAGAAGGCTCAGTTCCACCAAGGGAGCACACTGCCCCCCCCCCTCAGGGGACTGCCCCATCCCCAGTTAAAAGAGACGGGACCCTGGTTAAAAGGGTCTGGAACCCAGAATTTCAGGCCAGATCAGCAGAGGCAGCCGTTGTAGGAGAAAAGGCCAGTCTTACAGTTTAGGGCAGGAACGGTGACATAATTTCGTGTCCTGGCATCCATTGTACAAAAAGCTCTCTCTATGCCCAGCATAAAAATAATGAGCCTATAAAGACAGATGCCGAGCCAGATAACCCCAGAGGTCATGCAAAATACCCTATGGCTTTGCTTGTCTGTGACTACAGCAAAAAGCTGCTTCCTCCTAAACAGCTAAGGTGAAGGCCCCACTTATTTCTTGGTTCTAGAAAGATTCTCTGCGGAGTCCTAGGAGAAGCCGATCCTCAGGGCCTTTTCCCTTGTCCCTCACAGGTCACTCCAGGGCCACCTTCATCACTCTCAGCTCCAGCAGCTCAAGGATCATGGAGCCTTCAGCCTGCAACACTTTATATTGCCTACTGGCATAGAGTTAGTCCCTGAAAGTCCCCCTGTGGCTCTCCAAATTAGTGGAGCTGACAAAGCCTGATGGGCAGACACCTAGAGCATGAGAAGATTCAGCCAGAGGCAGGAGAATGCTGTCTCCTGTTTGGGCCCAGTGTGATGAGGCAGCAGCTACTCTGTATGGATGTTCTCAGCTCCCAGTGCCTGAAGAAGGAGCCCCAGTTCCTAAATCTGCTTAAGATTTAACACCCACCTACCTCATCCCCTCAGCCCATGGCTGCCTTCTGTCTTATTTCATGCTCCTGGGGCACTGTCCCCTGCGCATGGTGGCACGTGGGGGGGAGGGGGGTTGTTGGCCTGCGTACTTCTGCCCACCCACATCTCCACTCTCTATTGGATTTCTTGTCAGCCTTGCAAACTTCTGCCTCTTCCTCACAGTCCCTGTGCCCCTCCCTGGGTGAGCTAGGTCGGTCTCTCTCCTGTGTGTTGTTTGGTACTCTGTGAATTTTAGGTCTAACACCTTTTACAGTCCTAAATCCACAGTTACACCTCCCTGGAAGGTCTCTAAGATCTGTGCCTGCAGCTCCTGGCGAAGCACCAGAACGGACCAGGCACCAAGTAAATGTGTGGGGGATGAGAACCTCACTTCATAGTGTGAAAAGCCACATGTCCCCCTCTGTGAGACAGTGAGACCCTTAGAGGCAGGGGCTTTGTCTTAGCCCTTTCCACATCCATGTACCTAGTCCTGAGGACAAGGAATACATGAACTATTACTCTTGTTACTTTGTCGTATTTGTTAGATGTATATGATACACATGGTTTCTCCAGAACCATGTGGAAGTACGTTGTACATTGAGATATACCTGAAATACTTCATCTTGTGACACTTAACAGGGATGTCCCCTTGGAAGCTGTTAACACTACCATTGCCAACTTGGAAAATGAGCAGTAACTCCCTAATATAACCTGCCAGATTGTCTTAACAGTCAAGTTCCATGTTCAATGTCGTCCCACAGTCATCTTCTAAAGCTGTCTCAAACCAGCAGCCAGTCAGTTCAGGCAGAGTTTGCCTAGTGTGTTGTTTCAGAAGAATCTTTTAGTAGAGAGTTCAGCTTCCTAAAAATGGTGAACCTATAAAGACAGCAGCTGAGCCAGACCCTGGGAGGGGGGAATGCAGGTGCCCATGGAGACCAGAAGAAGGCATCGCTCCCCAAATGTGGCAATGTTCTGAACAATTTAGCAACAATAAAAGGTCTCTAGCAAATGTGAGATGTTTCTGGTGGTGCTTGCCCATGTTGTGACTTCGCTGCAGTCTTGGTTCCAATCGTAGTATACACATTTTGCCATGTGCAGGCTGCCACACCGCCAAATGCCAGCAAATGCTGCCCCAAACGCCTCAACTCGGATTCAAGACTGTGGAATGGTATTATTGATTGCAATGTTTTTGCTGTGTGTACAAAGGGTGCTGCTCTCATAGAAACATGATGGTTTAATTATGGAAAACACAGACTTTCTATTTTTTCCTAGTTAGTCATTCCTTGGTGTATATCAAATTAGTTTTTTAATTGCTTAATTTTAAGGTTTTACTTTTATTTTATTTTTAATTGCATGTATGGAGGTGTACATGAGTGCAAGTTCCCACAGAGACCAGAGAAAAGTGTCCAGTCCCCTGGTACTGGAGATGCAGGTAGCTGTGAGCTGCTCAAAATGGGTGCTGGGACTCAAACTCGGGTCCTCTGAAAGAGCAGCAAACCTCTTAACCTGTAAGCCATCTCTCCAACTCCTGATTGGCTGGTTGATTTTAAAAATTGCTCTCTGGGTTGCTGACTTGAGCTTCACGGAAATAGTTTTAAGTGAGTTTTGGCTTATCATTGACACAGAGCTTCCAGTCAATTCTGAAATGGCTCTAGACTTTTTTCTACCACTTTGCATTACATATTTATGCAAAGCAATGTTGTCAGCATTGGCAATGAAAAATATTAATCAAAATAATAACCATCTCTGAAAAAATGTGGAGAATGCCCTTCATCCTGCAGTACCAAGTATAAGCCAATGCTCCACTTCTTCTGTAACAGCAAGCATGTCCATCTCAGCATTTGTGTGCCAATTTGTTTTGTCTTTAATAAATGATAAAATTAGGGAGTTGGAGAAATGGTGCAATGGTTAAGAGTGCCAGTTGCTCTTCCAGAGGACTTGGGTTTGATTTCCAGCACTCATATGGCATCTCACAACCGTCTGTAACTCCAAGTCCAGGGGATCCTCTGGGTTCAATGGGTATTTCATGCAAGTGGTGCAAAGACATACATGCAGTCAAAAATACCCATGTGCATAAAATAAAACTAAAAATTATTATCAATGAGTTATTTTAAAATAAATGTCTTTATTATTTTATCACCAATAAATATTTAGTTTATATACCTCTGTATATCTAAGGTCACATAAAAATTCTGGGGCAAAAAGGGGTTTCTAGGGGAAAAGTTTAAGAAACCCTCATCTGGAACATTCTTAACCTCTTTCTTTCTTCTAATGTTTTAATAGTTGAAGAATGTAAGACCAGGTATTTTTTTTCAAGTGTCTCACTTTTAAGTCAGTTTTCATAGTTTCATTAACTTATTCCTCTGTGCCATAGACTTACTGTAGAAGCAGAAGTTAGGGGCTAAGGGATTAATTGAATTTGGACTAACCATTTTGGCGAGAGTATTTTGTAGGCTGTTCCTTGACACTGTTACATCACCTCAGGAGACATCATCTCACCATTACTGGTGCTAAATTTGACTGTATGGTTAAAGGCATTTCTCTGTCATACAGATCTATCTTTGTGGTCCTCCTGTCTTCATTGATGTGATATACCACAGCTTTTTTATTTGTATATGTTAAACCATCCTTGCACTCCAGGAATAAGTCCTGCTTGACTATGGTAGATAATACTTATATTTATTTTAATTTAAAAAATTTAATCTATATTAATTGTGTATATATGGGCATGTGGGTTCCCCCAGATGCCAAAGGAAAGCATCAGCTCCCCCTGGAGCTGGAGTTACAGGTGGTTGCCAGCTGCCTGACTAGGAACTGAACACTGGTCCTCTGCAAGAGGAGTAATGCTGTGAACTGCTGGGCTATCTCTCCAGACCCAGCCCTTTTGTTTTTCTTTATTGTTTTAGCTTTAAGAGATAGAGTCTCAGCATGTTGCTCAGGCTGATGAACTCCTCGGGTAAGTGGTCTGTCCTCTTGCCTGAGCCTCCCAAGAAGCTGGGGCTGCAGGTGCACTCTCTAACTACTGGATAATAACCCTTTTAGTATGTTATTGAAATCTGTTTGCATCTGTGCTATTCAGGAGTAGTGGACTATCACTTCCCTTCTTGTAGCGCTCCTGTCTGGCCCTAATAATGGAGTCATAGTTGTAAAACAAATCGGGAGTATTTAATCCAATCAACTTTGGGGGATAAGTTTGAGAAGAACTGGTATTCATTCTTTCCTAAATATTGATGAAGTCCAGCAGCAAAGCCTTCAAATTACAGACTTTCTTCTTTGATGGGAGATATTTGTT